GCAGCTGACTGTCCCAGCCACACCATCAGTGGGACGATTCTGCCCATGCCAAGACAGCCTGAGCCCTCCAGCTTTAGTATGTCTCCAGCTCCAGGGTGCTGGTTGATGGGACTGGAGACCCAGGGATGGCTCGGGGACCCAGGACACAGGGCAGGCAACTGCTGTAGCAGGGGCAAGGGACCACTACGGTATGGAGGGGCTGGCAATGCAGGAGGTACCATTCCTATCTGCAACAGCCCCCCCTAATGCACAGATGCCCCGGTGTCCTGCCCATGTGTAATCATGCAATTACAAGTACTTGCCCTCTGCATACGTCTGAGTGCTACAACAACTTCCCCCCTATTTCCTGCTTCGTGCTGCCTGCAGACAGCTGCCATACTCGCCCTCCGCAGGGTCAGGAATTGGTTCCTACACACACAATCTGTTCACGATAGGTTATGAAAGTAAAACAGGCAGTGGGAATAACCCCAACACCTCACCCTTTCCCCTATAAGAAACCTCTTTGGGGCCCTGAGAGAGCAGACAAATCAGGGCCACAGGATTTAGGGTGTACCCAAAACACTCGAGCCACAGATGCGGAGCAACTGAAAGGACAGCAGTGAGCCGTGGGCCTCTGCTGCCTGGGCTTCCCTCCCATCTGGACCTCTACAAAAGCGGGGCAAAAGCCCTTGCAGAACATGTAGAGGACTCTACAGAGGGGTGATGATGATGACGCCCACTTCAGCAAGCCCCAGGGTTTCCTACAAGAGCCTGGCTCTGCCAGGCACCCGCTTGTGCCAGAGTCCCAGTGTTGCCCCAGTGCCAGGGCAAGGCGAAGGCACACCCAAGGCAACTGCCCAGCATTTCCCCATGTACCTTGCTTCTCCTTTCTGGTCTGCACAAACTCCGAGTGCCGCAGGGCACTGGGAGCCGTCCGTCTGTAGAAGCTGTTTCGCTGCAGCACGGAGCCCGCCTTGTCTGCTTCCTCGGCCTCCTGCTCCCAGACCTGGCTCCAGTCTGGCCGGCCCGTGCGTACCCTCGAGCGCTCTGCTCTGCCGTTGCTCCTGGCTGGCATCCCAGGCCCTGGGGCTGCTCCTTCCAGCTCCCCACAGCCATCGTAGTCCATGTCCTGCATCTTGGACTGCGTGTAGCAGGTGCCTGACCCCAGGCTCACTCTACCGTCTCCTGAGGACCAGATCGCGAATGGAGGAGCTTCACAACCTCTGTCCAGACTGCTGCGGTCCACGACATGGTCTTTCGGCTGCCTGTGCCACCCTAAGTCTTCTTGGTCCCTGACACCTATATACTGCCTTTCCTGCTCTCTATATGCCCCAGAGCCTCCATCCTCTCTATACCCCTTTTCCCCTTCCCTATATACTTGATTGCCTCCATCCTCTCTATACTGCCTTCTCCCTGCCCTATACTCCCCAGAGTCCCTCTCCTGCCTATACCACCTTTCTTTTTCCCCATAATGCCTTTCATCCTTACTGTAGTCCCTAGGATCTCTGTCCTCCTGATACCACCTTCCCCCCTCCCTATAGTCTCCAGGGCCTCCACCCTCTCCATACTGCTTTCCCCTCTCCCTATACTGCCCAGGTACTCTGTCATCTCTGTATCGCCCTTCTCTTAACTCAGAACTGCAGTCTCTGTATTGAACGTCCTCCCTCTCACACACCCTATAGTTTCTACCCTCTGTATCCTGGCTTTTGCCTTCCCAAGCACCGTCTGCTCTCTTGCAGTCTGTGTACTGGGTATCTCCCTTCCAAAAACCTCCACAGTCTCCATTCATGCTCCGTTGGTCCACAGAGGTGCCCTCCCCTCTCCTGTAACCGTCCCTGCTGCTGTCCGCTCCCCGGCGGCCCGGGTACTGCCTCCTCACCCTGGGTCTGTCATTGCAGCGAGCCTCACTGCGCAGCGCGGCCACCCCAGCCACGTCCTCTCTCCGCACGGCACAACAGTCCTCATACTCCCAGCCGAGGAGCCGTGGCTCCTGCCTGGGATCCTCCACGCCGTGTTTTGTCCCAGGATAACTGCACATAGTCCTGCTGCGGTGTGGCGCAGGTGCCGACTCCCTTCGCTACCTGCTCCCCGAGCCCAATCCCGGGCTGACGCCGCTTCTCTGCTCTGCTCCAGCGCTCCCGTCCCAAGTGAAACGCAGGCGTCCCTTCCTGAAACCAGCCAGCAAGGGTAGGAAGAGGCACGGGCCCAATCGCTGCCAGCCCCAGCCTCCTCCACCTGCTGCCCAAAGTAATCAGTAACCAGCCCCGAGGAGGGAGGCTGGGGCTGGGCAGGCTCTCACCGCCCAAACCGGCTCCGCGGCTTTGCCAAAGCCTCTCGGAGGCCACTCGGAGGCAGGGAAAACGACGGCATTGGAGCATGCGGAGGCCCTGCCCCGAGACCAACGTCCTCAGGGAAGGGAAACAGACGGCGTGTGAGACTGCGGGAAGCCACAGACCAGAGATGGGATATCCGATCTCCTTGCCCTGCCTCCATGCTCCCGCTGGCATGGAGGCTAAATGACGCGGTCTAGCAGAGACTGGGCCCTGCTCCACACCTCGTGGGGGAAAACCAAGGCCTTCGTGTTGCCCCTGGCTCAAATCGATGCTGAGCCCATCCTTTTCCCAGCCCTCACCACAGGTCCTGGGAAGAGCCAGAGATGAGCAGCTCCCTGCGTGACAGAGCATCCCCGAGGGGTGCCTACACAGTGCCACGCAGCCACAGCTGCCCAGTTCCCCGCTCCGAGGTGAATGGCTGGTCCCCCCACTGATAGGAAAAGGCTTGAGGGGACTGTCTAGGTTACGGAGTCCAGTGCCAACACACAATGTAAGTTTCCAGGCTATAGAAACATGTGCTCCAGTAACTCCTCTCACTGCAGGGTGCAACATATTCCCAGTTTTCCATGCCAAACACAGGAGCTCCTATGAGAAACCAAGAGATGACCACAACATGCCCCAGACAGAAACCAGGAGAGTGGGTGAATGTTATCCACATCTCAGGTTCTTGCAACACTCATTAGGTATGCACAGCCAATGCTCCCAGCTAGTAGAAGACAAAAATAAAAACAATGGACCCTCCTGCTAGGAGGGCAAGCACTAATCCTGCCCAAGCCTGGTGATGAGCAAATCCCCCAGTGTGCACCCAAGATGTCAAAGAGGCAACCTGCAGATTTTAAACATGTATTTTAGAAAACCACATACCTTCTGCTCTTCCTTTGGCTCCCCAAAGGACGCACGAAGGGACCAGGTTCTCCCAGGACTATGCCAGCCCTAGTTTGTTTGCTGGTCAATGCTCAGTGAAAGCTTTTCTTCCTCCAGCATGCCCCCACGTGCCCCTAACGGAAGGAAGGCAGAGGCCATGCCTGAGGCATGGCACAAACATGTTTTGCTGAGCCCATGCAACACCACATTACTGATCTGGCCTGCTGCACTAAAACTGGGCTAGCAAGCCTGAGACATGCTCTCTGGCCACACTCCTATGTGGCAGGAGGGATGTGACAGAGCTTGGATAGGGCATATTTTTATCATAGGACCAGAGAGGCTACTTATAAATCCTCAGGTCTCTTGAAGTGGTGAAAAATTCCCTAGGACTACCAAGGGGATAACTTGATGGGTAGAATGTCTCAGGATAGTGCATTAGTTCCTGCCTAAAACTTCCAGTTCCAGTAACCAATAGGGCACGAGTTCCACAGGATCCGTATTCTGTCAGGAAGCACTGGGACAGTAGGAGACATTTCCTAGCAATATCCATGCCATCAGAAAATTTCCCTTGAGATCCAGCCTAGATTTTCCTCTTCCTACCTTCAAGTTATTTCATCTAGCCTCAAATTCTCTAAGCCTCCTTCCAAGCATCCCTCTTGCATGCCACTGATGTGGAGGCTGTTTGTCACCCTGTCTCCCTGATGCACCTGTGTCAGCCTTCGTTCCCATGTGCTCTGTATCAGACACGATCCTGCAGCAAAGCGCCTGGGCTCCCCAGCGCTGATTAAGCAGTGGGAGGATGGAGGCAATGAAGTCAGAGTGAGTAATCCCCAGGCAGGAGCTGGCATTTCACTCCACCTCCCGCATGCAGTGCCCACATTTCCTGCACATCGTGGGTTTCGGTAACAGAACTGCAGTGTCAGAGCTCCTGGGAGAAGCTGGGGAAGGGACTGTGGGAGATGTACGTGGTCGCATCTTTCCACTTTGTCTACTGTAATATCAAGTATAACGTAATTAACAGCACTGATATTTATATGGCATCTTTGGGTTTCAGAGCACAAATGTGCTGATATAATCATGGTAAATTTCTCCTTCCTGAGTAACTTTTCTGGGCTGCATGGACAAAAGTCACCTTTTCAGCTACAGACATGCCATAATTTAAAGCTCTTTGTTGCCGTTACCAACAGCAAAGTGTCATTTTCCTGTCCTGGATGGCAGAAGCAGAGGGGCAGGCTTTACCTTTCGCCCACTAATGCATCCCCCTCCCAGGCCAGAGTCAATGCACTTCCATGCATCCCCTCTGATCTGAGTGACAAATCCCCAAACGTCTGTATCACCACCAGAGCAGAAACCGCAGGAAATCCAGCATGCTGACAGGCTGAGGGCAGTCACACCACAGACATTGACTCAAATCTCAACTGCAGGACCACCAGCAAAGCCACTCTGAAGCTCCTGCTCACTCCCTTACAGCTAAGAGGGGATGAGGCAGGGAGGTTGAACCTGCAGCACTTGTGTTTTTGCTTGAGAGCAAGGACATACTGGGAATGGATCAGATGAGGGCTCTGAATGTACAGTGGGGCTGGAAGAGGAGATAGGGAAGTTGGAAGGAAAAGGGGGTGGGGAAGGCCAGGGCTGAGGGGTGTCCAGAGAATGACATTGGTTCTCCAAGGCAAAATCACGATGACTTGTACTGCAACAACGCTTACAAAACTACCAACATCAGGAATTAAAGGAGGAAATAAAAGACTGGCTCCAACAGTGCCTGTACACAGCAGGGGCCAGCTGTCCCCCTGAAGGACCCCCATCCTATGCTGCTGCACTCACCTCTCAGCTCCTGCAGCTCCACGCTGAGGCTCTCAATGTTGGAGTCACAGAAATCAAGGTTTTCCAGGGTCTCTGCTCTCACCAGCTCATCCTGCTGCTCCTCCAGCATCAGGCTTAGCTCAGCGCGGGTCTTGCCGTAAGCCTCCAGGTCTCGCTCTACCTCTCCGATCCTTGTCAGCAGAATGGAGTGGGGGGAAGCTGATCCTGCCTGTGTCAAGTCCTCACGTCCCTCTTCCACCCGCTGCTCCTGAGTGCTGGGCTGAAGCTGCACAGGGGCCACGTTTTTCCGCTGGTTGCTTGAAGGAGGCCGGGGCGCAGGCCGGGAGGGCTTGACCGAGAAGGACAGAGATCTGCCTTTGGGCACCTGGCCACCCAGCGTGTGCACAGGGGTTGTTGCAAGGCTGCTGGGCCGAGGAGGAGGTGGCCTCAGGGCCTTCCTCCTCTCTGGCTGCCTGGCTTGGGGGACACACTCAGGAGACCCACGGACAATGTCCTTCTCAGAGCTGTAGTCCAAGATAGAGAAGTGGCGGGAGACCTTGTCTTGCTCAGAGCCGGTACTCGACAGACTCTTCTCAAACTGTGCCAGCTGTTCTGTCAGTTTGGAGTCGAGGTCTGTGCAGCCGTCCCCCTGCACTGTGAGCGGGCAGCATTCCCCCCAGCTCCCAGCCCATGTGTCCAAGCCCACCTGGGCAGCTCCCAAGCTGGAGGAACAGGGTTTGGACTTCTCCTGATGACCATCCACCCAATCATCCAGGTCCTGGGCACTACTCTGGCTCTCCTGGGGCTCGGATGCTGCCCAACTGTTAGGAGAAGAAATCATCTGGCTCCTGCAAGGATCTCGGGGGGAGTAGGGTGCCTGCAAGGGTACAGTGGGACTGTCCCCATCATGCTCAGGCAGGGTGTGAGTTTCTGAGTTCCCTGGGGAGGCTGAAATGGTCCCCCCAGGCTCCAACTCATTGGCTTGGCCAGGCCTGTTGCCCCGTTGGGGAGGCAGCTGAGCAGAGGGGAGAACACCATTGACCGTCTTCGTGGGGTCAAAGGGGATGGAGTCTGCTGTGCCTTTGGGACATGGCTCTTGGTGTCCTGTGCTGGGAAAGGCCTGATGCTGTCCCAAGTCAGTGCCAAGAGGACCCTCTGACATCTCTGCCTTGTGAGACAAAATGGCATCCGGCTCAGGATGTGCAGTCGAGCCATCCTCCTTGTCCTTGCCATCTTTCCCTGGCAAAGGAAGAGCTTTGGAGCAGGTGCTTTCCGAGTCTTGATGGATAGTCACTCCACAGCTGCCTCCACTTTGGGGATCCCCAGCACCTGCCTTTTCCCTGCAAGCCTCAGACGCTTCCAGCCTCACAAATCTGTGTGGAAAGATGCCACGTTTCCCCCTCAGCTCCCCCTCCAGCCAGCCATCCTCCAGAATGCCTATGATCCGAATCCTGTCACCCACATCAAAATCCAGTTCCTTGGACTCCAGGGCTTGGAACTGATAGAGGGCAACACCATAAGTGCTCCCTGGCTCCTCCTCCTCCTCCTTGGGGGGCATCTCCACTGTCCCATTGGTGTCACAAGTCCCTGTGGGCTCTGGATCCACTGAGGTTCCTGATGTTCGCAAAGGAGTAAGCAGTTCCACAAAACCCTCTGGGAAGATGCCCCTGTGGCCTCTGAGCTCACCTTCAAACCAGCCAGGTTCTGGGACACCAACAATGTTGATCACATCCCCTTCCCTGAAGTCCAGTTCCTCCTCCAGCTGAGCAGAGAGGTCCATCAGGGCCCGGGCTTGGCCCAGTGAGTAGGCAGGCACCTCCAAGAGAGCGCTCTGGGACAGCTGACGGCTCCGAACTGAAAGGCACAGCTCCCGCACACATGATGAGGGGAAAAAGCCCTTGGAACCCCAGCTGCTTCGGCCCTGGAGCCAGCTGGAGGCCAGGGACCCCCCCAGGATCACCAGATCTCCTGCAGAGAATGAGACACACCAGTACAAAACTGCCCTCATGATTGCTTCCCACCTCTTATTCCTGTCTCCCCATGTCCCTCCTGGCTGTGGGTGAGGTCTGGCACTCTGCACAGAGCGTAGTGCATGCTGGGGATGCACAAGAGAACAAAATGGAGGTAAGGCATGAAGCATCAGCAGTCTCTTGCACACGCATATCTAAGATACAGTTTTGGCTGCAAAGCCATGAAGGTGCACCAAAGGTTTGATTTGATTTCTCTCCCAAATGCAAGTCTAAGATTTGGGGATTAGAGAGCAGTTAAAGGGCAGCTGTAAGTTTACTATGATCAGATGACTCCAACTTTTGGAGTTTCAAGAGTAATGATAGATCATGAGAAACTGGTATCAGAGTGGCAGAAGCACAAAGGTCCATGGTGGATTTGACATGACCCATGTCATGAGGTGTTAGGAAATTCCTCTCTCTCTCCTGTCACTCTGGGCAGGATGTTGTGACTAGGTTCATGTTTCTGGAAGGACAGGTGAGGGCTATGAGGTACAAAGAAAAGGAAAGGAATGGAGATTACCTCTCTGCAATGACAAGCTCCCTGGCTCTTGAGATATGAAGTCACTGGTACAAACAAACAGTTTTTCTCCCTGCTTCAAAGGGGGAATATCCACAGGTTCCACAAAGCTGCTAGGAAACTGCCCTAAAACAAGAAGCAGTTGTCAGCAATGAGTCTTTCCTGTAGCCCACCACCACTCCCTCCACCCTCCTTCCAGATTTTGAGATCTATTCATCTCTTGCTAAAGGAGAATGCCCAGCTACCCAGGGTGCCTCAATAGCATGGTGGAAGAGGAATAAGTCTGGCAGTCAGGAATTCCTGAGGTTTTAAATGCTTAATAGCTAACAGAGAACAAAAAGCTTTGCACCCTTGGCTCACTCCAGGCAACCAACAGGCTGTGCTTATTACTGGGACTGTGCCATCAGCATGGAGTTTCTGGGAACAGACATGCTAGGTTTTCTCTGCTTTCATTGCTTGCTTCCCAGCTCAGAGCCATGATGAGGACTGAGAGATCCAGTAGTGCTGTATCACAAGACCAGTGTCTTCTGCCTGGGCACATCCACCTGGTGCTCCTCACTCTGTAAGGCTGGGCCTTTGCACGGGCTCAGCGCAGGAGTCAGGCCACCACACTTGGAATGGCCATGTCTGCGAGTCACAGGCTCTGTCAGTCTCAGTGCTGCTGAGGCTCCAGGGATCTTCCCCACTTGATCACCTCTCTGCACCTATTTCACCATGGCACCTATTGCTGGATGCCTACCTATTCTGAACAGGCCACAGCCAGACGAGGCAGTGCGCACTTGCTGGCCATCACAAGATATCACTCAGCTACTGATTTCAGTCCCGGGAGCAGAGGACATGGCAGAGCCCACTGCAAAGGCCACTAAAAATGTCATTCCTATCTTTTATAATTTGTGGCAAGGGGCTATGATGGAGTATGGGCTAGTAGCACTTCCAGCATTCAGTCTTAATGACCCAATATGGCATCCATGTTCTCCAATAAAACCTGGAGACACCATATCCTAGACACCCTGAACTTTGCACTGGGTTTAGGCAGTTTGGCATCTGCTGTCGTTAACCTAAGGTGCAACCAGCAGCCCATAGGCTGCCAGCCTCAGTGGCTATCTTCACAGTTTTAACCTACTCTACCTCTTTTTCCATGTCTCAGTTTCCTGCTCTGTACGTGGAAACAACCTAATGCTGCTACAAAGGAAGTCATGGAGCTACATTAATTATTCCCCACAGAGTACTCAGTATTATTTCTTATTGGTAGGCTGCAGCACCTTCACAGCTTCTATTCAAAAGCACTTTTTCAAGTCCCTACAACTTTAGTTTAGAAAATTGGGCAGAAAACTACAACAGCTGTTCCAAGGGAAAGCAGGACTCCAAGTGGGTTTTAAGTTAAAGGTCGTTAAAAACCATTTGGTTTGACTTCAGTGGGTTTCTTTATCTTTGAGCTACGACACACATGTTTATTATTCCTTAATAGTTTCATCCTCTTGAGAACAAGTGCATCAGTTATGCTGGGAGACAAAACTGTGGTGAAGTATACTGGCGATTTCTGCAGAAGTAATCTGTGCTCAGGGACTTCAGCAGCAGGATCAGGCATGCGTTCATTCAGTGCCATTTATCAGCTAAGTGTCGCACAGGAGAGAAGTCCTCCTCTCCACCTTTGCTCCTGTCCATCTTTGTTTTAGCCAGGAGACAGCTCGCAGCTCTTAGCAGAGCCCAGACTGCTGCTGCAATAGCAGCTCCATCTCCATGGCCAGGGATGAAACTCCAGTCCCACCCTCATGCTGAAGACAGTCAGGCTTATGCTCTGAAGTGGCCTGGTTTTCATCTCCCTGAGAGCTCATACATCCTCTCAACATCAGTATTAAGATGAGAAAGAGCTGCTTAAACAGGGACTACGAGACTCTTTAAGTGTTCCACTAAGAGCATTTCGCTGCTTCAGAAGTTTCTCACACCCTTCCAAAAGTTTGAGAGACTTGCACACTACTTCAGGCACCCAGATATTGATGGCAGCTTGTGCAGGAATATGCTTTAAAGCGGAAAGGAGGAAGTAGGACTGAGTCAGAAGGCTTGGAGGGACACACGGACTCTGTCACTGTGTCTCCCACTGACTTGACCTGACAAGGTCACTTGGAAGTGGATGCATTTCCACTCTCAATGCATCTGTTTCCTCCCTCCCCTTCCACTGCCACAGTGGGTCAGCGCATAAACTAGCCAGGAAATGGGCTGTCTCACCACAGAGGATGGAGCAACTAGTATTGTGAAGCTCTCATCTCCTTGAGAGCTGACCCTCCACTAATCTCTCTCAAAAAACAACAAACAAGCTGTCTGAACAGTTGATGCAAAGCTGGCAGGAGACCAGTGGTGGGCAACCTGCACCCTCAGACCCAAGCAAAGTCCCATGAAAGATTTAGTAAATCAAATCTGGTCCTGCACAGCACTGGCCAAGGGAAGGTGCGCTCAAAGAGTGGCCGTTTAGCTGGCACATCTGTGGATCCAGGTGCAGGCATTTCCAGCTCTTACCTGTGACACCTTCCTTCTTGCCGAGGAGCCAGAACTCATCCACCACGGCCAGTACCTCGATGACATCTCCCACGAAGAGGGGCAGCTCTTCAGAGACGCTGGGACAGAAATCAAAGACTGCTCGTACCACAGAGCCAGCCTCCATTGCGCGGGGTCTGAAGGTGAATCAGTGCCTAAGGCTGAGACAGCAGGAAGTTTGTTAGCAGCCAGAAACACCTGAAATTATCACAGATACACCCTTCCTGAGCACAAGAAGCAGGAACAGTGCGAGGGGGTCCTGTGCTGAGCTCCCTGAAACCCCTTGCCACGTAGCATGCCACAGGAGCCAAGGGTCTTCAGCAATACAGCCCCCACGGTCTAACCTGCCTTGTCCAGCCCCTCTGGCTATCTCTGTGGGGACACGTGTTTTTGCTGCAAAGGGGGGAGAAGCAGCAAGAATATTGGAAGTGAATTCCTGTCAGGAAGGAAGCATGAGGAGGGGAGGAAGCTCCGCACTTCCCTGACATGCAGGGCAGGGCCCTGAGCCCGCCAGGGCTGGGTGGGCAGACAGCACCACGCACTTGCACAGTCCCACCACACATGCTCTGGTGGGATGGGCACAGGCGTCCCCCTCCCCATGCCACTGCTCGGCCACAGGAACTGCATGCTGGAGCAGCATCACGCTTCTGCCCAGCAAAAGGAAAGGCACGAAGTCCACTCAGGCAAGCTCACCCCACCATCCTCTTCCCCAGCGGCGAACTCTTCCTGCCCCCACCTGGGCTGACCCAGCCTGGGCATCCTCAGACCTGGCTGGTAATGCCCCTTCTAGGTACCAGGCTCAGCCATCCCCTGTGAGGCTTCACCATGGCTCTTGGCAGAAGCCCAGCTGAGCTGAGGGTGCAGACCCCATCCAAGGCTCTGGGAGCCAAGGCTGAAATTCCCCCCGGGAGGGGACCTGAAGGCAGGCAAAGATGTCCTCATCAAGGGCTACGTCCTGGATTCCCCCTTCCTCTGAAGGTGGCTGCTGAGCCAGGACACTTTTCTGTATCATCTTTGCTTTGTTCCAAGCAGCCTCACCATCAAGGCAATACACTGCACCAAGGCAGCAACAGTCCTGTAGCTTCAGCTGCTCCTTCCCTTCTTCCCAGATCCCTCAGGAGAGGAACTTAAAGGTGCATCTGTCCAAAGCAACCAGGAACCCTAAGATTATTCCTCAACATCGACACCTCAGACCGTCGAGTGCTTCCTTTCATATTCCTGTCCCACTGCAATTACAGGCAGACACGGCACTGCCGACACCGCTCGGAGGTCCTTTCAGAGCCCTGCCCTCTGTGATGCGGGGACTTCAGCAGGCCCCACCAGCCCCCCTGACACAGGCTGCTTTCCTCGCACATCACAAGCAGAGTCCCTGCTGCGTCTGGTTGGACACAACTTCCCTGCAATGGGATCCAACCTCCTCCCCTCCCAAAGCGCCTCTATGTGCACAGCAGACAGTCACCCTCCAAGTGCCACCCAGCCTGCGATACCCGTCCCGTGCTCAGCATGGCTTGTCAAGCCGTCCTGCCTAGCTAACAGCAGAAAGAGCACGGTGACACACACACCGCCACCCACAGTGAACACACGGGCCCCCCCGGGCCCCCATTTCTCCATACAGCCGCGCACAGCCCACCTGAGCCCCGGAGAGTCAGGAAGAGGGGAAGCTAACAGAGGGAGGAGAAAAACATCCCCGCTGACGAGGTGCGGCCAACTTCCAGTGAGAGTGCCAGTGGGGGACCCAGCCAGGGAAAGGCTTTCTGCTGACGGGACTGCTCTGTTTATCCAGTCCGACTCACCTCCTGGGAACAAAGCGGGTTTGTACTCGGCAGGAACAGCTTCCTCAGCACGTCCCTCCCCACCCCCAGCCGTGCCCCCGCTGCAGCCCGCACGCTGCGCCCCGGCCCCCGGCCACCCTCACCTCTGCTGTCCCGTCTGTCACTCCTATTGCTCTTCGCTGTCTTCCCCGTAGCACGTGGGCTCCTTGGGGCACAGGCTGTCCCTTTGTCGCCAGCGTTGTGCTGGCTGCGCAAACAAAGAGCCCAATATCCAGCAGCCGACAGCACTTTGCCACCAAAAAGAGATGAATGGACTGGAGTGAATCAGGAGCACAAAGAGCTGCAATTCAGGGTAGCAGGAACCTACTGAGGCAGAAGGAGTAACAGTATTAAAAACAAGACCATGTGGAGCCGGGAAAAAGATGGAAGAGCCATCAATTAGCTTGGAAATACTAAAGACAAGGAAGGAGCCTTGCGCTGTTTGAGGTGGGGTGGCTGGGACGTGCTGCTGCATGCTCTGACGGGAACGGGAGAGCAGCAGCAACAGGCGCAGCAGTAGCAGCCCCTTGCAGGCGCTTGGGGCTGCCCTCCACCCCGCAGACAGGCTGCCAACTCTCGCCGCACAGGGCACGACTGAGCTCAGGGTCCTAGAAATCCTTGGCATACTCTGAATATGCAAACTTCACAGCCACACTGGACAAAGGGGGAAAAAAATATTGCAGGCGTAACTGCTGCCTCGCGTTGGTTTCTCCAGGAGCACATGATAGTACGGTGTGATTTCTTGCATTTCTTCAGCCAAAGGTGTAACCTAAGAGTGGGCTGAGGAGTGCAAGGATTGCAGCATGTGTGCTGCTGACCCAAACCCTGGCTTTGCTGCAGTCACCGGGGCTGAGGATCCGGCCCTCCCACTGCCCTAGGCTCAGATCCTGCCCCTGAAAACAGCAGTGTCACTTCCTTAACTCACCTGCAGCTCTGGGGACTCATTCATTAAAATGTACAAGATTTTCCAATGAGACAGAAGATCAAGAAGGGCAGGCAGGGTTGCAATTGTTCCACCATGTATATATTAATTGCAGTTATAATAAAACATGGGCACTAACGTATTCATGTGAAAAGCATTCCCTGAGAGCCAGCCCATGAGGTAAGAAAGCATGAAGTAACTTCTGAAAAGTGCCAAAAAAAGAATCCCAACAAGCTCACGTTCCCTCAGCAGTACTGAGACGAGCAGGATCCCTCCCTGACTCCATCTGAGTCTAGACAGTATGCCCCTGCATTTGAAAGCAGTGAATCAGTCTTGTGGGGTTTGCCTGCTCTGTAACACGACTTGAACACAAAATATTATGTTTTCCAGGACCTTGGCCTTGCCTTACTCCATGGTGTGCTGCCTGCCAACGTTTTCTCCAAACGCCCACCTAGAGAAGGAAGCCTCCCAGCACCCTCCAGATGGGAAACAGCATTACTGAGTCCAGCTCTTCAGGCTTAACGGTGGACCCCAGCTTCTCCCAGATCCACCCCAGATCTGGTGAAAACAAACATTCAGCAACAGCTCACGCAGAGGCTCCAGCAGGAAGAGCAGATTGCAGGGAGAGCCGGGCTCCGCCTGTGATCCATCCCCAGTGAGTCACGGCTCCTGACGGCTGGACAAGCACCATCCCCTCTCACCTCAGGGACGGGTGATCCCTGCCTGCCAGGGGAAGGGAGGGAGGGCTCCTCCACAACTGAGCAAACACTGGGACTTCACGCTGGTGGAGGTCAGGACTGCGAACTGCGGGACTCCTGCCCCCGCCTAGCAGCAGACCCGCATCCAAAGAGAGCCTCACCGTGCAAGTATGAAGCTGCAGCGCAGCAGCGAACTAGCTCCGCTGAGAACACGCTGTCTCTGTCTTGCTGCCTGATCCTGCACAAACTAGGTAACGTGTTCCTGGCGCCCGACGGCAGCCTGCCTGGTGCCAAGCTCCGGGCCTGACATAACAGCATTGTGCAGCAAGGCCGAGAGTGGATTCCCAGGGCATTAATCACTCCCCCCAGCCCGCCTGCATGCACGCTCAGCACACATTAACATTACCTCCATGGAAGGCTGCCTATCCCATTTCACCATTAGCTCTGGAGCGTGTCTGGTCCAGCGTAGGCTGATGAAAGGAGGAACCAGAATGAAATGACGACTATTAACTCTGTTACAGTATTGTTTTGAGACCATCAGCACAGACTGGATCAAGCCACAGCAGCCACGAGAAGGCATTTATTTACACGCTGACTCTGACAACTTCTTGTATCCCTCCTCTCTTTTTGCAGTTGAAATTAGGCAGGGTAAGAATTCTCAAATAATGGACTCACCAGCACTACAAATAATTGTCAGGCACTTGCTCAAAGTGCCATCACTTAAATGGAAGCAGAGGTACTGAAGACGGTGATATAAATGCCCTTTTTGCATCTTTTTGATGGTAAGGGTGAGCAAAAGAGTCTCTGATGAGTTTCTGTACTTTAGAAATGGGAGTTCTGTCTTCCCCGTTTTTGCTAAAAGGTGCTGAAGCAAGGATTTCAAGCACTTAAGAGAGAAGGCAGCAACATGAAGAGACCATTTTAGGCTGATTACAAAAAGTATTAGCCCCAGTAAAAGGAGAGACCCAAAGGGTTTGCAGACAGCTAATCCGGTGGTATACCCAAAGCGCTGATCAGATCGTGAGATAAAAAGCAGTAATGGATAGGTGCCACAAATTTAGCAGCAAGAAAACCAAACTTCACAGGCGCTATCACCACTTGCTTCCCTCTAAATAATACTTTTCAGCTTCTCACTCAAGAAGCAGCGCTGTTAGAACTGGCTATGGTCAGCATGACAGCACCATAACTGAAAAACTAACATTTCACCAAGCAGACCAAAACGTGCAGTGTGGGCTTCCACAGGCACACTTGGTTTGCACAAGAGGGACAAGTGGATTCTTGTGCAGCAGATGTCTCAATCTCTATAAAAACCTTAGAGCCTGCCTGAGCAGTACACCAGGAAGGAGTCAGATTCCCAGAAATGCACAAAAGCCAAGTTTGTTGCAGAATGATTAAAGAAATTAATATTAAAAATATTAAATACTGCCAGTGATCTTTTTTTTAAATTGAAAAATGCCATGCATTTCACCTAGGTCTTTTCATGCCTCCTTCCACTCATTATATATAGCTCAATGCCTGTTCACTGAAAACACAATCCACCCCCAGAGACAGAGATGCCCCTTGGCCCCATTCAGTGCACCCTCCAGCTGCTGGGTCTGGCTTCGACAAGAGATCTGCTGCAGCTCTCACTGCTGCAGGATTGTTACCTAACATGCAGTGGGAAGAAACCAGGAGTGACACTTGGCTTCTCATGCCA